ACAGGTTGCCCTGGGGCCCTAATCCATCCTCCTTTTCTAAAACAGCAACTTGCCAGCAAATGAATGGCACTGCACTGCGCCTGCTAGCATCACGGATAGTGCTTGCAAAAGGAGAGCTCTGAAACACTAAGCCAGATCTTACTGTTAATAATCTCAGTGGCAATTTTAACCAGTAGGAATTTAAAGCTAAAATATTCTTGTTACAGTTCTGGGGAAAAAAACAAGGAAACCAAATCTTAACTTTTTAATTTGACTCTTTTATGCTGAAAGACTCAAAAGGAAAGTGTATTATGAGAGAAAGCAAGAATAAAGGCAAAAAGAAGCCATTAAACTGCTTTGAGAATTTCCCCATTTTTTTCTCTTTGGGTTTGCAGAGACGCATTCCACACTGAGTGAATATTTGCCTCCTGAAATGCATCCAACATTTAGACAGCTTGTGCATTTCAGCTCTGTTTGCCAATAAAGAGCAGTTAGATCTTTTATGTAGCTAAGAGTCTGGTTACATCACGATTTACTATGTGAAGGCTCACAGGAGGGAAAGTAAAAGTGCTGCTATTGAGTTTTAGGTTTGTTCCATGCTTCCTGCTGCCAAACTGAGACTAAGCTCCCCGTTCTGCAGCCACTTCTGATTAGCCGGCAGAATTAATAGAAGTGGAGCCAACCATAGTGCAACTAATGCAGGCCCATGAGATTTACATATTTTATCATTTCTCAGGATTAAAACCATCTTGTTAGGCAGAAAGACCTGGCATAGTACAGGTCACCAAGCCGGCTTCATTTCACATGTGTAAAAAGTACCACTGCCTCCAGTGCAACTCCTAACACATACCAAGGGCTCATTTTGTGCATCTTTGTGCTGCTTCCATTTGTAACATTTTGGGATCTAATTGTACCAGCGACCATTTTAAAGGACTCGGAATAAAATAAATTAATCGGTCGTACCTTTATCCGACCCCAGAACCAGCATCTCAGGAGACATAGGACTCCTTTTGCTTTCTCCCAAGGTCTGAATCAGAGACTTCAGCAGAGGAATCAGCTTTCGATGGATAACTTCGCTTGCGCCATGGGGGACACCTGCAAAACTGTAAAATCTGGTCCCCGGGTAGCTCTCAAAACACTGTGGTGTCCCAGAGAGACGAGCCTGAAATAGCACAAATCAGGTAAAAGCAAACACCAGTACTTGTAGCTCATTATATGCATTATTAGTACTACTGGAAAAGCACCCTGTCACGCTGTACTTCCATGCGAAGCCTTCATTGCCAATTTACAGCTATTGCATGGGGATCTGCAGCTCTGAGCTTGCCTCATGGCAGTTTGTAGGCCTTTGGTTGGTAATGCAGCTCCAAACTCTTTAAATTATTCTCACTCCTAAAGTTGGTGTAAAAGTTTTAAGAAAAACAATTTAAATTTTATTACATGTGTTTAATGGCATCCGTTTATATGGCATCCATTTGCAAGAACCAAGCACATGATAAAATACAGTCTATTGCATGCACTACAGTATAATGGCCTCATTTCATTTAAAGTAACAAGTTGGAAGCGAGCCACAGATGCAAGCGAGAGGCTTCTAAGGAGTGAGAAGCAGCAGCGAAGTGAAGAATAGGGGAAGTTTCAAAAGAACTGGCACCAAGAAGGAACTTGGAAGCAAGGGAAAGGGAAAGGGAAGGTGTTTTCAAATTCCCACTGCTCCGATTATTCCAGTGATCAGACTTCCAACAAAATGTCACATAAAATGGGATAGGGAAACTAGTTGTTCCAAAGAGTGAGAGCCTGACTCCAAATCTAACTTCAACAGGATTTGGATCAGGTCCTAAAAAGACACAGGTCTTGCTGAAAACACTGTATCAACCACATGGGTGAGATTGCTGAAAGTTAGTTAGATCTGAGCTCTTCGCTCACTCAAGACTGAAGATCCTCAATCACTACTGAAGATCCTATCCTGAAACTATGAAAGAACAGTACAGGCAAGTGGTGGAAATAGTTTGCTGTTTCCTCTGCTTTCAGCAGGCACACTGAAACTTCATAGAAGGCAGGGGCCTTACAGCACTAAAATATAGACCCAGTATGACACATTGCAGATAGCACTAACAGTGCTGCTATAATACCGCATTTTTATTTATGTGTTTATTTATAATACTATATTTTTTATTTTAATTTTTATTTAATTTACAAGATTAACAGTCTTTAATAAAGGACATTCTATTTATTTATAGCAGCAATATATAATTTATATGAATATTAATATATCTGTTCACATACATATTTAGGCATATCACTACATATCTACATCTATATATGTGTGTGTGTTTGTGTGTGTGTGTGTATATACACATATCTATAGATATATCTATATATATATATCGATATAGATACACACACACACATATATATGTATACATGTACGTATACATATGCATATATATATTTCATTTATATATAATGTATATATATTTCAGATATGTTTTGCAATTCTCAGATAGGGTGATTTAATTTGCAGTTATCTGGCTCTTGGATATTCTCAGTTCTTGCAAACTGCCCACCATGGCTGTTGGAAAATGCATA